TTATTTTCATAAACTTTTTTTCCCATGGTTCTTATTTTTTAAATATTCTACTTTTACCCAGTTTTTATTACAGCCTAATGACTTACCAACTAGTGCCAAGTTTAGGCGCATTTCAGGGTCTTTTGACTCTGATATCATGCCTTAAAAGACAGCAATTCTCAGCCACCTTCCTTCAGACACCCCACCCAAATCAGTATGTGAAATGAGACAGATATTGTTGACAGGAATGTTAAGAAATGGATCCAGGTTTTGTGACACCTAAAGCTCATATAATTTTAAGAGCCTTCTTCTTCTGAGAGCTCTTGGAAATTAACCAGAAATGCTCACTGGTTGCATCCTGGCCTCTTCTGAACATTCTATAATTCACAAGAATTTCCAGAACTCACAGGAGCCCACGTCGTGAGGAACCCTGAAGCTTAAGTTTCACTAATTCTATGGTAAACACTTCTGAGTGTATTACAAGAAAAAGAATTCCCACTGAGAAAGACAGGAAGAACATGCATGTAGCTCAACCCCATTAAAATATTTTAAATGAACCAGACAATCTGGCCTCATCTGACTCTTCTGAGCTTCACAGGCCTCTCTCCTTCCACAAGATCCCACCCTGTCCTGTGCCACTTTCAGTGCACTTCTATCACATTCGTATTCTTGTATTTCCTTCAAAACAGTAAGTACCACCCTTCATCAGAGGTTTTGCATAAGGCTGCCTCCCTTGGAAAGACAAGAATACTATAATGGAGCTCTAAGATGGGAGAGCCGAGGTTTGAATGCCGGCCTCACCACTCACTAGCTATGAATTGAAGGTAAATTCTTTGAACTTTCCATTCCTCAGGTTACTAATCTGTAAAATAGGTATCAGAAATACGGTTGTGAGACTAGAATAGTGCCTGGCAGATAGTAAGCACTCAAAAAATATTAAAACGCTATTACTATATTACTTCACTCAGTTACAATCAAGTATTACTCAAGGAAGCCTTTCCTGAGTTTCTACACTTGTTTGGATATAGATCCCCTCTCAACTCTCATGGTACCTTAAACATCTCCTTTATAGAAATTATCATAATTTTAATTAGACAGTTATCTGTATAATCATTGTCTTTCTCCTCCCAACCCCAAGAAAGGATACCCAGGTGTCCGGTACAGTGCCTGGCCTGTAGAAAGTGTTCAATTAATATTTTTTAAATGAGTAAATCTCCATGTTTCACAGAAGTGGAACCTGTGGTCAAAATAATTCGTGTGGTTCCTCAAAAAGTTAAACATAGCGGGCCGGGCACGGTGGCTCACGCCTGTAATCCCAGCACTTTGGGAGGCTGAGACGGGCGGATCACAAGGTCAGGAGATCGAGACCACCCTAACTAACACGGTGAAACCCCATCTCTACTAAAAATACGAAAAAAAAAAAATTAGCCAGGCGTGGTGGTAGCGCCTGTAGTCCCAGCTACTGGGGAGGCTGAGGCAGGAGAACGGCACGAACCCGGGAGGCAGAGCTTACAGTGAGCCGAGATCGCGCCACTGCACTCCAGCCTGGGCAACAGAGCGAGACTCCACCTCAAAAAAAAAAAAAAAGTTAAACATAGCATTACCACATGACCCAGCAATTCTCCTTTGAGGTATATATATACTTAAGAGATTAAAAACAGGTGTTTACGGCCGGGCGCGGTGGCTCACGCCTGTAATCCCAACACTTTGGGAGGCCGAGACAGGCAGATCACGAGGTCAGGAGATCGAGACCATCCTGGCTAACACGGTGAAACCCCGTCTCTATTAAAAATACAAACATTAGCCAGGCATGGTGGCGGGCGCCCGTAGTCTCAGCTACACGGGAGGCTGAGGCAGGAGAATGGCTTGAACCCGGCAGGCGGAGCTTGCAGTGAGTGGAGATCACGCCACTGCACTCCAGCCTGGGCGACAGAGCAAGACACCGTCTCAAAAAA